GGATGGATGGATGGATGGATGGATGGATGGATGGATGGATGGATGGAGAAAAAAACAGAAATAACTGTTTAAATTGTGAAACATTGTTTCCACAGAGCTGCTACAAAGTCAGGATTTAATCCATGCAATTAATTGTAAAATATTCTGCCCACCATGGATGTATAAATAAAGTTGACATTAATCTAGAAGCATATGGACTTGTGTGTATTTTTGACTAAACTGTGTTTTTTGATGAATATTTTAAAAATCCCGATGTGTTAATGTCCTGAGCTCTTGGGGTACATCATAAAATCTACATAATATATAGATATTATATATAATATCGCTGTGTTCTTCCGTCTTGTTCACAACTTGATAAAATGTAGTATTTGAAGAGAAGGTCACATTCAGCTCTGATGTTCACCTTTACACCTTTAATCTAGCTTAATTCAGTTCAGTTGATTTGTTTAGCACCAACGCTCAGCAAAAGTCATCTCAGGGCACTTGCCAAAAACATGGACATTTCTTTTAAAAGGCCAGTGAAATTAGTAAAATAAGTTAAAGTTATATATCTAAGGAAGCCAGATTGCATCAAATTTTTGTGTTTTTGCAACCTCCTCTCCTGAGCAGCACAATGGCGACTGTGGAAAAGAGAAAAAAAAACTTTTAACAGGAAGAAACTTCTGCAGGCTCAGGACGGGCAGCCATCTGCCTCAACTGGCTGGAGTTACAGAGGACAGGAACAACACAGAATACTCTTGTTTTATTATTTGCACATTTGAAGAACAGAAATCATTTAGCCTATCCTAACTGTTCTACAACAGAAAACGTTTGATCAGACTCTATAAGAACATTTTATATACAGTTTAGTGTATGCAAACCTTTGGTTTCAATTGTAAAAAATAATTGAATTGAATTGAATGTTCAACAAATCTGACCAACAAACCACAAATCAGTTCATGTCCAGTCGGTCTGATTTACGTTGGGACAATCATCAAACCTCTTTAGAACAAAATAAATGAATCAGTGGTCTTCAGTGACCAGCAGGTGTCTCTTTGCTTTGAGAACATGACCTGGTCTAGCTTCAACATTTGACGGGGAAAATAATGTCAAGTTAAGACAATATCCTTTATCCTTTGCACCAATATTAGGATTTATGTTTGCATTAGAAACAAAACCCTTGAACTCCTAGTTTTTTTTTATTTTTATCAACAGCAACATAAATAGAAAACTGCAGTTATAGGTGACGGTATAATCAATGTTAACCAGTAAAAATGTTGCTTTATCATAAGTTATAATGAGGCCAACGCTTGTAGGCGGACAGTTTTCATCCAACATCAATGTGCAGCCTGCTGATAATAAGGAGGAGGGCTTATTTACTGCTGCCCCCCCCACCCCCCTCAGCACCACACACCCAGCCCCCCTCCTCAGCATCATCATCACTCCTGCATCCAGCAGGTCCACTGATCATCAGTGAGCTCGCCCTGCTCGCACTCTTTGCCTCAACATGTTGAATTTCCTGCTTTTTGTTGCAACTGCTGCCTGCGCGTTAAAAGGTAGGTGATCTGTTAACTTTAGCTTGAATCTATTTTAAATAATGTTAATTTACTGATAAAAGCGCAGATGAGGAGGTTTAGAACTAGGAGGCAGGGGATTGATTTTCTTAGATTGAAGCGCTTTGTGTGCGCAAAATCCTGATTTTGGGGCTTTACTGTGAGAAAACATGTCTGTTTTGCCAAACACTGATTCAAATGGAAAAATCATTCCTTAAGGTTGTTTTAGTTCTCCTGGACTTTTGTGTTGAATGGAAATCAATAGAAGGAATCACAAAGTCATCGGGACATTTTATTTGTTTTTCCAGCTTTTTTTATTGACGTGCTCCATTATCTCAAATAAGATCCATATACTTGTGTTTGCAAATAAGACAGCAGGTGATGAGACACAAACATGAACAACACCTGGATTTGTGTGATTATTGTAAAGATGTTTCCTATTATCTTTAGACGATTTGAATTTACATTAGCCTTAATGGGTTTACATTCAATGCAATACCATAATAAGTAGTTAATATCCTAATTTGTATTTAGTAGCAGTATGATGATGATGATTATTATTATTAATGTTGTTTTCTTTTATTGTCTGTCCACCACTGAAAGGTGAAAGAGAACAATATTGTTTACACCCCTGTCTGTGTCCATATGTCTGTCTGTTAGCAAAACATTTTGTGTATCACTTGAAGGGTTTTTATGAAACTTGCAGAAAGTAATTGTTAAGTGTACCAGTATGGATCAACAATTAGTTAACATTTAGAGACAATCCATCTCAAAATGGTCATTACAGATTATCTACAATAATAATTTAAAAAAAATGGTTATAACTCTATCAGTTTTACATATATTTATATAAAATTTGATTTGGTAGCGGTTGAGACTGATCCCAACACTAGAGTACTAACAGGGTGTGAACTTTTTGTTGTTGTTGTTTGCCATTAACTTTCAGGTCTCTCTTGTAAATGAGTCCTCGAGGCTCAATGGGATTTACCTGTCTAAATAAAGGTTGAATGAACTATTTATTAAAACTATTTATTAAAACTGATTCATGCATTTGTCACATCTAGACTGGACTGCAAAGGTTTATTATCTGGGTGGCCAAATACTTCTTTAAAAAGTCTTCAGTTGATCCAAAATGATGCTGCCAGAGTCTTAACTGGAGTTAGTGGGAGAGCTCAAATCTCCAGTTTTAGCTTCTCTCCATTGGCTCCCTGTCAAAGCAGCACGATGGCTCAGTGGTTAGCACTGTTGACTCACAGCAAGAAGGTCTTGGGTTCAATCCCTGGTTAGACCCCGAGGTCTTTCTGTGTGGAGTTTGCATGTTCTTCTCGTGCTTGCGTGGGTTTTCGCCGGGTACTCCGGTTTCCTCCCACAGATCAAAAACATGCATGTCAGGCTGCCTTCAGGCCCAGGCCTCCCTTGCAAAAGAGATCTGTGATCTCAGTGGGATTTGCCTGATTAAATAAAGTTAATAAAAAAATAATAATAAACCCAGAATTGATTCAAAATCTTACTTCTAACCTACAAAACCCTCAACAACATAGCTCCATCTTATACAAAGTATTACAGAACTTATCGTTCAATATTTTCCTAACAGAGCACTTCGCTCTCAGACTGTAGGCTTACTTGTGGTTCCTAGAGTTTCCAAAAGTAGAACGGGAGGAAGATCTTTCAGTTATCAGGCTCCTCTCTTGTGGAACCAACTTCCAGTTTCTGTCCATGAGGCTGACACATTGTCCAGTTTTAAGACTTTCCTGTTTGATAAATCCTATAGTTAGGGTTGGCTTGTCACGCTGTCTTAAGCTTAGACTACTAGAGGACAAATTGACCTCATTTCCTTAAATGATTTCTTAAAACTGAATAGTTTTCATTTGATACTATTTCTATCTTAACATGTGATTCTTGACCTGCCATTGTGTATCTGTTCTTACCAAAACCAGCCGGTCGAAGCAGATGACCACTTGTCCTGAACCTGGTTCTGCTAAAGTTTCTTCGTCAGGAAGTTTTTTCTTTCCACTGTCGCCCTCATGTTGCCCACGTTGAGAGTTCTGTGATGGAGTTAAAATCAAAGCAGTCTGCTCCTCAGATAAATAATGTTAAATTATTATTTATGTGTATGAATGTTTCTGTTCAGTGCCCTGAGATGACTTCTGTTGTGACTAGGCACTATATAAATAAAGCGACTGTTAGCAAAACCTTTCATGAACCACAGGACAGATTTGAATGAATTTCTCAGAAAGCAATCATTGGGTGTACAGCTGAAGCCTCTTGGCTGCTGCCTCTAGTCAACTTCAGTTAGCACAACCCACACAAATTAACAGATTTGCTGAAATTTCATGTGGTAGGTGAAAGTCATTTGCAAAACACTAATAACTGTACTTACTGTACAAGACCTTTGTTTAAAACGTTTACAACTGAATAATATTTGAAGGCAAGCCAGTTTAAGTTGAACACTAACTATTTGAAATGAACCTAAAATGGATTATAACTAAGTTTTACAGATGTTGATTTAAAGTGTGACGTGGTCTTAGCTGAGAGTCGTTCACCACATCCTCCGAGCGCCACATCTTCTGATATCTCTTGAGATTGTGTTTAACGTTATTGTCATGATTTGCCCAAAACAGCTCCAACTACATCGAGTAGTTGAGGTTGTAAGGTCACAGAGCAGCATGAAGGGCAGGGAAGTCTGGGCAACAAAAAGACAAACAGGAACCGTTAAAAACTTTATGCAGCTGAAGAGATTTGATCTATAAAAAAAAAAAAACAGAGTAAAACTGCTCTCTTATTTATATAATGCAGCATATTCCTAAGTCTAGGAAGTTTTATTCAAATTATACAAACTCTTGATTTCCAAATGGAAATGAGATGATGAGATCTGTTGGATGGGCCTCATCAATTTGACTAAGATCTGTTCTGAAACATGAATATTCTGACTGAAGGGGTTTCTTCAGAGGAAACCACTCACAGAGGCTCTTCTGTCTGTCCATGACTGACTGAAGCAGAGAGTGAGGCCCTGAGAGGCAGATGGAGAGACGCCTGCACAGAAGTGTCTGCTGTAATTAAAGCCTCTGTCCAACGCTCTGACTACCGAAGGCTTGAAAGACTACGCTTACTTCATTTACGGCTCCGGGCTCATTCAAGGCAACATTTTCGTTTTCTTCTGCTGCTCCCTTCAGGGTTGTCAAAGTAAGCAAACTTGCATAAAAGATTTGGAATTGCCCCTCCTGATGCAGCCTGAGCTCAAACCTGCAGCCTCAGGATGACACTGACCACTGAGCTACTGCTCCGCATTTAAAGCAACATGTTGGTTCTGTATATGAAAAGTCTTTGTGGGGTCTTTTGTCTAAAAACAATATTTGCATTGCAACAAAGAAACATCTTAGGACAATACCCTTTAACAATGCTGATCTTGTTGATCCTCGTGGTGAAATCTGATTATGGTGGGACCGGGACGAGGGGCATTCAGAAGGGATTTTGTCACGGACAAAGATGAGCTTTCAGCTCGTCTTTTCTGCTGAAAGAACTGCAACAGGGACTGGAGGAATGAAAAGATGCCCACAGAGAGCCCGCTCTCAGCCACATCATAAGGATAATGTGCTTCTCATAGATGGTTTTTGGATTACTGGGGCTAGGCCATTAGCAAAGTGAACAAATGCTGCCAAAAACACTTCATGACTCAAGAGCGGGAATGAGAGTGCGTTAAAATGAGGAACGGGTCGGATTTGAGATTGCAATGTGAGAGAAATTACATCCATATTTTAGTGTTGGATAACTACGTTCTGCCACGTGTGCTTCATCACCGCACATATAAAAGCTCTGACGCAAACTAACCTTTGGACTTCAGAAGCATAAAATTAAATACCAAAGTCATAAAATCCTGAAAGCTGATGGGAAACTATTGTCATTTTTAGCAGCAGCAGCATTATAGACCCAGAACTTCTGGCTCAGACTGTTCAGACACAGATACAGGTTTAAATACTGAATCAATTAACCTGCTCAACATGCATGAGCTCGTGACAGTAAAACAGTTTCAGTTCAGTTTATTTATACAGCGCCAAGGCACAACAGAAGTCATCTCAGGGCACTGAACAGAAACATTGATATTCATTTATTCAACCTTTATTTAGACAGGTTCATCCCATTGAGCCTCGATATGTAAAAATAATATTTTAACACTATTTATCTGAGGAGCAGACTGCTTTGAGTTTAACTCATCACAGAACTCTCATCTTGAGCAAGCATGAAGGCGACAGTGGAAAGGAAAACTCCCTCATGAGGAAGAAACCTTTAGTAGAACCAGACTCAGGACAAGCGGCCAGCTGCATCGACCAACTGGGTTTGAGAGGAACAGGAAGGAGGAACAGATACACAATGGCAGGTCAAGAATCACATGTTAAGATAGAAATAGTATCAAATGAAAACTATTCAATTTTAACAAACCATTTAAGGAAATTAGGTCAATTTGTCCTCTAGTAGTCTAAGCCTATAGCAGCATAACAGGCCAACACTAACTATAAGATTTATCAAAATGGAAAGTCTTAATCCCAGTCTTAAAACTGGACAATGTGTCAGCCTCACGGGCAGAAACTGGAAGTTGGTTCCACAAGAGAGGAGCCTGATAACTGAAAGGTCTTCCTCCCATTCTGCTTTTGGAAACTCTAGGAACTACAAGTAAACCTGCAGTTTGAGAGTGAAGTGCTCTGTTAGGAAAATATGGAACAATAATATCTGTAATATAAGATGGAGGAAGGTTGTTGAGAGCTTTGTAGGTTAGAATAAGGTTTTGAATTCAGTTCTGAATTTGACAGGGAGCCAATGGAGAGAAACTAAATTCAATCTTCTCCCTAGATTTTCTGTCGTTGTATCAGGTTTTAATTGTGCTTTGGTGCTAAATTTATATTTTGAGCTAATTTAGATGACATATTCTCATGTGGACTTTGTTTCACTGGATATTTCCATGATTGCATTGAATTTGTCAAATGTATTATTTAGAACTAGATATGGCTTAAATTGAGAACCTGAAAGGTCTTAAAACCCAAAAGTTACACTTTAATTGGATATAACTACCTTTGTGTGGAATTATATATATATATATATATATATATATATATATATATATATAAACTGAGAAATGTGTGTGTCTTCCTTTGATTTGCTTTTAATAAAATTTGAGAATCAATCTTGCTTCTCTATTCAGTTCTTAGTCATTGCAGCTCAATCACTAACTTTATGACTTTTTCATTATTTCAATTTTTTTTTCTTTTTCTTTTTTTTGCATTCTATTCACACAATGAATCTCAGTCTGAATCATAAAACTTTACTCCTGCTTGACAAATGATGCTGTTAAAACTAAACACAAAATATGTTTACTTGCACACCTTTCTTCTTGTTTTAATCACATGTTGGACTCCCTGCTGGCATGGATCATGTCATCCTTCATCATAAATACTTTAATTGCATCTGGTCACTGAGATGATGATTTGTTTGAACAGTTCATTTTCCAGGGTGGAATTCAACATACAACTCTAATGAGTTTGAAAATCAAGATTAAGGGACACAAGTTTAAAATATTATGGATTTTCTCTGATCATTACAGGGTCAGAATTATACATAATTTACAAGCACAAATCTTTACATACACCGCCACTAATATTTGGTAAAATTATCCTTAAAAAGTTGGATCTCAGCCACTTGCTTTTTGTTGCCATCAGTGATTCAACTGATTAATTGTAAAAGGATAATAATAAATGTTATAAATCGGGTCGTGGGTGAGGTTCTGCCTCATATGGAGGAGTTCAAGTATCTCAGGATTTTGTTCATGAGTGAGGGAAGAATGGAGCGTGACATTGACAGATGGATTGGTGCAACGTCTGCAGTATTGCGGACACTGTGCCGGTCAGTTGTGGTGAAGAGGGAGCTGAGCTTTAAGGCAAAGCTCTCTGTTTAGCAATCAGTCTACCTCACCTATGGTCACGAGCTCTGGGTAGTGACTGAAAGAATGAGATTGTGGATACAGGTAGTTGAAATGAGTTTTCTCCACAGGACTCTCCCTTAGAGATAGGGTGAGAAGTTCAGTTATCAAGGACAGACTCGGAGTACAACCGCTACTCCTCCACATCGAGAGGAGCCAGTTGAGGTGGTTCAGGCATCTGGTAAGGATGCTCCCTGGGCACCTCCTTAGGGAGGTGCTTGGGGCATGATCGATTGGAAGGAGACGTCGGGGAAGACACGGGACACGCTGGAGAGATTAAGTCTCTCTGTTGGCCTGGGAACACCTTGGAGTCCTCCCAGAAGAGCTGGAAGAGGTGGCTGTGGAAAGAGATGTCTGGACCTCCCTGCTCAAACTGCTGCCCCTGCGACCCGACTTCAGAACAAGTGGAAGATGATGCATGGATGGATGGATGGATGGATGGATGGATGGATGGATGGATGGAAGGATGGAATAATAAACCTTTATGCATCTCCATCAACTGTTTGAGTTTGTCACTCTTTTATCAACTGAACAACCTTCTTGTTACTGAGTGTATTTGTGTCTAATCAATCCAAAAGTTTACCCAACTCCTCACAGATTCAACTTCCTAATTCAGACTTAAAATTAACTGTTCTTTATTTAACAACATATTTTTTTACAAAAATGTACTTTTTGTCTGTAGGTTCCCATCAAGGGGCGAGTCAGCGCAGACTGTACAGTGATCTGATGTCTGGGTACAACCCGCTGGAGAGACCCGTTGTTAATGATTCTCAGAGTCTCAGTGTTTACTTTGGACTCAGCCTCCTGCAGATCATGGATGTGGTGCGTACACTGTTAAGAAACATGGTCGTTGTGTTCATCTCAAACAAATAAAGCTAATTGTGTTATACAAGCTTATTTTATAGCAATTCATAGAATCAATATAATTGCTGAAATTTGGTTTTGAATGTCCCAATGTACCTACAGCTAAAAATCTTAATAAAACGTATAAAAACGCAAAAGTTCAAGCTTTAACAAAAGTAGAAAAAAGCCATGTAATGTCATCACAAGTAATTAATGCATAAGGGCAAATGTGCCACGAGTGTTTACACTTGCTTCTGTTTAATTAGATTTTAAATGAAAGGAGAAATGACAGTAAAAATTGCAATATACTTTATAAATAATCATGATTTTTATTTCTTACAGGATGAGAAGAACCAGGTTCTAACTACCAACATCTGGCTACAGCTGGTGAGATGACTCTATTTAAACACTCATATAATTACTTTTTCTTTATATTCATATCTTATTTATAATAAGATGGAGGATATTTCAGAGTATGTACATGAGTAGATGCAGACTAGACTCTGGTTGAATATTTGCCAAATAATTTTGTTATTTATTAATCCCAATGACTTATATTCTGTCTTCACTGTTCACAGCAGGGGTTCTCAAACGTTTTGGGTTCATGGACCCGCCCATCACCCTCATGTTTAATAATTAATTTTCTTCCGTTTGTCTCTTTAATGCAATGGATATATTTGTGTAGCATAAATACTTATGTTCTTTAGCAGTGTTAATACAAATTTTATATGTTTAAACCTGGGGTATTTTTCATTCAAGACAATTAACAAAATTTTTAATTTCAACTTTCAAAAATGACAGTTTTGAAATAATTAACAGTATCAAAAAAAAAAACTTTAAAACTTTACCTATTCACATAATGAGCATAAATGTTCTGCTACTTCTTCAAATTATTACAGAAAAGTCTTTACGTAAAACTGAACAGAATCATAACAGCAGTAGTCAGACCAGTAACAGCTTCATTTGTAAACTGATCGATACCAGCAGGCCAGTGGTGGTGTGTGGATGCGAGATGTCTGGGGCAGTGGTGGAGAAAGTACTCAAACACTGTACTTAAGTAAAAGTACAAATAAACAAACAAAAATGTACTCTAGTAAAAGTACAAGTACCACATTAATGTTTTTACTTAAGTAAAAGTAAATAAGTACATGCTTTTAAAAATACTTAGAGTATTAAAGCAAAAGTACTTGCTGAATGTATTACCTAATGCAATGGTCTACAATATCATTAAGTGTACCTACCATATGTATATTTTCTGTAATACATTAATAGTGTTGTTTTAATGAACAATGCTGCAGATAATACATGTTTTTATTGTGTTTATTCTGTGACACAGTTCACACTTGGACTTATGATTCTGTGCGTCAAAATTTCAGGATGACATGCAGAGTTAATGTCATTAAGCACAATAAGAGAGGAATGATTTTACCTTTGAAAGTTTTTATTTAACACAGAGAAAAACCGATGTGTCATTTTAACTGCAATAAACACATTTAAGTAAAAGTTGTCTGATGAAAAAAGGAGCATTAGACACAACTAACAAAGGAATAGGCTCTGATCATTTCAACTCCAGTTAAAATACTGTCTAAACCTTGTACTGGGTCAATAGTGAACAATATTTTAACTTCCTGACACCATTTTCAAAACTTGGTCCTGAGTGTTGAGACATTTGGAGACATCTCTTGTCTCCTGTCCTAACATCATGAACTGACACATTTTAATTTTGCAGCAAGAATTTCTTGTTCAAGTTCAGAAGAAGTTGGTTTTCAAATTTTTTGAGTCCAGTCTGGCTCTTTTAGGAGAATCTGTCCTGCTGTACTGAATAATCTTTCAATAATATTTCAATAATCTTTCAATAATCTTTCAATAATCTTTCAATAAGGCCATGTGTGGCACGTATCTTCTGGCTGACTCTCCGTGGTGGAATCCATTTTGGGTGTGTTAGTGGTGCTGCAGGTGCACCCAGCTCAATGACGTAGATACTAGAATATCCATCATTGGTCCAGCTTTTCTTGAAGGCAGGTCTAACGTTACCTGCCCACTTTGCAGTGATTCAATGGACCAACTCCCCTCACACCACTGGTTACTTTCAAACTAACAAACAAATCAAAAAACTGCAACATGAATGGAACGTGTAACACAGCGCATTATAGAAATGTAGTGTAGTAGAAAGTACAGATACTTAATGTAAAATGTAGTGAAGTAAAAGTCTAAACTACCCACGTTTAACTCTACTTAAGCAAAGAACAGATACATGAAAAATGTACTTAAGTACAGTAACAAAGTACTTGTATTTAGTTACATCCCACCACTGGTCTTGGGCTCCTCCCCCCAGAAAATTTTGAATAAAGTAGATGTGACTTCCTGCATTTTGGTGTATTTTACCAGTTTGTTAAACATCTACGTGCTTGTAAAAAAAATATATATATTTTTTTCTTTTATCAAATTAATTAATTAATTAACTAATTTAGTTTTTGCAGACCCCCAACCACCGGCTTGCAGACCCCTGGGGGTCCATGTACCCCAGTTTGAGAACAGAAGCAATTATGGATGGGGTTTCATTAAAAAATCCTTAAAAAAGGATCATTTTTGCAACTTAGCATGCAAAAAGTCGTCATTCTAATCAGTAACATAATCCTAATTAAGGGTCCATGTGTTTTATGCATATAATTCAGTTACAGTGATGACTAGTCTTTTGTTTTTTTATCATCTTCAGGAGGAATAAAACCTTTTTCTGTATTCATGTGGTGGGATATAATTTATTAACGCAGATGCTTTATTGCGTCTTGTCCGTTTTCGGACACTAGCTCCCTGCCTCGTCAGCAGACTCCGCTGAGGCTGTTTTAAATCATCCTGTGGAATCTCACCCATACACACCCACATGGAAACCCACTCTGACAACATCCACTGGACCAACGCTCTGTTGACGTTGATTTAGCATTGGTTGGCTCACTGAGAACTCCCAAGTTTAAATGTCCTAAAGATGCGTTTAATGCTGAAAGTCTAGGTGAAGCATTAAAGAAATGTTGTAACCTCCGAGTTATTTCTGATCAAATTTCAACATGAACAGACAAAAAAATGTGCTGAGAGCTGCGCTAATTAGAATAATATTTAAGTAATCATGGCTTCAATTTAAAAATTTAACTCAGTTATTCGTGAACGAGTTGTTGTGTTAGCTCTGAAGTTTGTGACAAAGGTCATTATTCCAAGGAGCCTTAATTAAAAACTGTGCAGTGTGAATCATACAACCGAGTCCTCTTTAATTAAATGTGTTTTGTTCAGTTTTTATCAGAGACTGACCTTTATAGTCCTCCATGGTTGTGACATCCAGTTTAAACACAACGTGTATTATTTAAAGGTGAGTTGAAGGTTTGATTTAGAAAACTCTTATGAAAAGTTGTTTAATAAAAACAAACAAAACAATATATAACATCACTTCCCACATCTGTGGCGTTTTCCTGTACAATAGTCCCTCGCTACTTTGCTGTTCGTTTTTCGTGGACTCACTACTTTGCAGTTTTTCAAAGTAAGATTGGACATGACACATCATTGGCTGATTGATGGATGAGCCGCATAATCTGCACTGAATTTTTATTTAAAATAAATTATTTTAAATTATTTAGCACCTGCTGCAGGAGAAGCTTCCTCTTGCATTGGGTCGCATCGCCACTTTGCAGCAGAGAAGTGGGCGTGGCCGAGAGCGCTGGCAGACGGCAGAGAGCAACCGGAGGCAGAGAGCTGAAATCATGATATGCTGTGCTCTTTTACCATACCATTTAATTTATAAAGCACTTTAAACAGTGACAGGGCCAAAGTGCAAAGTACTTTTAGAGCCTTTAGAGTTCAGAAACATGGTTTGAAATATTGTAAGAATGTGGGAAGGGTTTAAAACACACACACACACACACAACCATATATATATATATATATATATATATATATATATATATA